CCCCCCTTTTTCCCTCCTTCGCTTGCTTCGATCAATAAACAGTTAGTTATGTGTCGTGAGCCCTAGATTGCACCTAGCGACGTCAGAGTAGGCAGCCGGGTCGCTGATCACGCGTAGAGGTGCGTGTGTGTACGGGTTGACTTGCGCACATGAGTTGAGCCGATATTAGGCTGTAACTGTATAAGGCTACTAAGTGTGGATAATAGTCAATTGTCGCGGATAAAATTCTTACTCTATTTTATTCAAAGGTACACAATTACTTGAATTCGTCAACACTGACACGAAAGTCGCGACATTATGAGGAAGTGGGATCAGGGCGCGTTAGGCGTGGGGGTGGGGACCGGGGTCGGCCCGGCCGTCACCTTCACCGACGCGGCCTCGGTCGTCACTGAGGTGCTGTTGTCCGGGGTGGAGTCCAGTGAGTAGGCGAACTGCACCAGCACCACCAAGTACGTCACCATGGTCTCGAGCAGCTGCAAGCACAAGTGGTGTGCCAAGGAGGTTTGAAGGGGGCATGTGCAAGTGCATCCACGGTGGTCCATAGACGCCGTTCTTCCTTCCCGTTACATTATACCGGTGAATGCAAGCGGGCGGCGTGCGGGCGGACCAGCCTATCACCCCCGCTCACCGAGGCGCCGCACGGCCCCGTGTGAGTACGGTATGCAACCCGTCCCACCCGTCCGCACGCCTGAATCCGGTGGAATAGAGAACCGGAAGAAAGAACAGCGACACACCCAAGTCCTGCGCGTGCACTCACCGAGGCAAACAGCGCGCGGTTCACGGTGGCGTAGCCACTCAGGTTCACGATGGGGGGGTCCATGGCCAGAGCGGTCATGAACATCTGCACCTCGTTCTTGAAGTGCTGAGTGTCGTCGCTGAGCTGCACCATGAGCAGGTCCTCCCGCAGCACCTCCGCCACCTGGCCCAGACGACCACTAGTCAACAAGGTCATCACCCGCAGGGACTTCGGCCAGGCGGCTGGGCCGCAAAGCAACCCTCAAACAATTATTGTGTATTTTGACTAACGGCGGAAGAAGAAGAGCGGGTAGAACATAACGTTACCGATTGGTCGAGAGCTGCCCGCCTCTACGTCACGCCGGTAGTGGGGGTAGGCGCTCGACCAATGAGGACCGTTTGTGTTCTACCCGCTCTTCTTCTTCCTCCGTTAGTCGAAATACACAATACGTGACCACTTTAGAGAGTCGCGTGAGCTCACCCGGTCGGCGGCCGTCTCCGCCGCACTGCAGACAATGAAGAGGATGAAGGCGGAGCCGGCGGCCAGGGCGCCGTACGCCAGGGTGCGGGCCTCTAGCGAGTGTCGCGCCACGCCGGCGAGGACGCCGAAGGAGGTGACCGTCATGAGGAGGAAGAGGTACAGCAGCTGGTGGCCGCACTGGTAGGTCCAGGCGCTGCCCGACTCCTGCGTCAGCTCGGACAGCTCGAGCCACGCCTGGCGGTAGTCGGCCATGCGCTCGGCCGTGCACGCGCCCGTCACCACCATCTGCAACGAGCGGGTGGCGCCGTCAGCTCGGGGCGACCACGTGTCGGCAACCGGCTGAGCACGAGCACGCGACTGTCGAGGGCCGGGGCCTCACCTCGTGCATGGACTCGCGCAGGGCCTCCGCCGCAATGCACAGCGCTTTGGAGCTCAGCAGCCACACGGAGACGAGGCAGATGGCGAGCAGGTACAGGTGCAGGTAGGCGAGGCACTGCAGCCAGGAGAGGCTCATGTACATCGGCATGGTGCCCGTCAGGAAGGCGGCCACCGCGAAGGAGAACGCCGCCATCCTCGCCACGTACCCCCGCAGCCCCATGTGCAGCGGCCGCCTGCACACCTTGTGGAACAGCTCCTGGAGGCCACGGCGGGGGTAAGATCCTTGGGCACGGGCAGCGGGCACGCCAGTGGCGGCGTAAGACCTCACCAGCACTTACCTCGAACTTGATCCACGAGTTGAAGTACCCGGCCACGAAGTAGGCCTCCAGCCAGTGCATGAAGGGCAAGAGCGGGTGCGCGTGCAGCAGCAGCAGGGGGGTCATATTGTAGATCTGGTCGTGGAAGGTGTTGTCCTCCTTAGCGAGCTGGCGCACTGCCGCGCTCGCGGCGAACACGACGGGCACCGTCAGCACGCCGTACACCACCAGCGTGTACAGCCAGATGGGGGACAGGATCTTCCACTGGAGCCTGCCGTCGGCGCGGCGCTGCACGGGGAAGGCGATGCCCACTTGCATGAGCATGATGAGCGGCATGGCCGAGTCCACGAAGGACGCCGTGCTCTTGGACGCGCCCGCGATGGGCTTCTGCCGCTTGTACTGCGTCTGCTTCTTGAAGTCCACGGGCAACCCCCTGTTGTCCAGGCCGCCCAGGCGCGGCCCGTAGCCCCCCCGGCCTGGCGGCGCCCCCCACGCCACCAGGGCGTCCCCGCCCCGCTTGCGCGACGCGTCGACGGGTGGGCCCCAGGCATCGTACTTCTTGGAGATGACCCAGGGCGAATCCCCGGCGGACGACATCCTCAGTGTCCCGTCTGCGGCATGGCGGGCGAGGCGGGCGGCCGCAACCCCACTGCACGGGACTCGTCGTCGCTAGCGGACATTTGCGCCGAAACTGGTCGAGCGGCCCCCTGCACGGGCCAAAACCACTCTGCACCGCCCCGCCCCGCTCCGCCCCGCCCCTGATTGACCGAATGGGGTCCTCATTTGGACACGCGAGGCCCCAGCCCAGGTCCCAGGGCCTCATTAGGTTCCCTGTCGTGTGCGCGTCAGTGTGTGCTCTGACCCCTCGTCCACGATAAGGTATCGCAAAAGCGGCCTTAATGACAGCAAGCCAAGCGTCTCTGGGGGCGCGCGGCGGGCGGGGTGCGGACGAACACGCAGCGCTAGCGCAGCCCGCCGCACGCCACGAGGCCCGAGGACGTACGCCGAGGCGCATCAATAACACAAAGCGTTTGTCAGTCTCACCAATTTATTTACCAGCTATTTTTTTTTCTTTTGCCCTATGGTTGAATACAAAATGATTGTGGTTTGTACACACACGGAGCTACAAGGCTCATGATTCAGAGTTGATGGGAACAATGAGAATTGGGATTGAGGACGTCATAGCAAGGCGTGGCTCTGGAAAGACAAGTGATGAAAAACAAGATTTGCACTGGTATCCGCTGTTTTACAACCGTAGACTCACAAACTTAGATAATAATCCAAGTGAGAAAAAAATAATATGCAATGGACTTGAGATTAATCTATGTCTACAAGCATATTGACTAGCAAATTTTACAAAGTTATAGAAAGCCCTGCAAAGTAATAAAATAAACCCTAC